CCCGCCGTTTCGCCGGAGGCTGCCGGCGAGAAGATTCAGGCGAGATCCCCGGCGGGGATGGGGAAAGGTGGGGAGGTTTCATTTTGGTGGAATGGGATGAGGAGAAAGTTAGCTATTTGCGCTTGCAAGAGAAATAGGTATAAAGAGGAGGAGAGCTAGAAATAAATTTAGACCAGTTATTATGGCAAATTTTCATTAAATACTTAATGAGGATTAAAGCCTAAAAGTATATAACCAAGCACAATTCACAACTCTGTTATTTTATTTAAAGCATATAAACAAAATTAAAAAAAAAGGGTCCATTTACATACACACCATTCAATTCCTATTTATTTATATATCTAACACCTATACTTTATTTCTTATATTTATAACACCTAAAATTTTCTTATTAACTAAAAAATATCATTATCTTAATTTTTAAATTTTAAAAAATATATTTTTCATGCATTGATAAAATGGCATATATGTGTCAAAAATTAAACTTTAATAATTAGATACATGAATACATAAAAATTAAACCCAATCATTTAGCATACTTCCTAACGAAATAGATATTATTAAAATATAAGCGATTTACACATAATAACATAAAAAATTATATGTTTATAGATTTATTATCTAAACTTTATTTTATTTGTCATTTTTTAATTTTAACAATATATAAAAATATCATTGATATTTGCTTATCTAAAATAAAATATTCCTTTTTATGTATACATTTTATAAGCATAAAACTTAGGTATTAGACATATAATTCCTTAAAATTTTATAAAAGAATTTTTATTGTAATGGAAAATATTATTTTTTTTTTCCTAAATAGCTTTTGAGGAGTGGAAGGACATGAGGAAGCAAAATGGGTGGCGCACTTGCTCAGAATTCAAAGCTCGTTGGAGTCTGGACTGAATGGACGGAATGAGGTCCCAATGCAATAAAATAAAATTATTGATTTGTGTAGGTGATTTACGTACATACCACCTAATTCTTCCAAATTTACATATTCAAACACCTAAATTATGGAAAATACCACTTTAACTTTTAGAAATTAGATAAACATTTTTATTATTTCATCATCATAAAAGATAAGACGAAATTCTCGTGCTAGACTTATGGAAATTAATTTAGATTCATGTCGTGTCGGCAATGCATGGTAACTTGTCGGCCAAACAAGTCAACATGTACGTCTACAAAGTGAAAAAGTAAAGACGTTCAGGTCATTTCACATGTATGTGCTTCTTTACAGCTATCATTCCCTCGCCTTTTTGTGGGGTTTTATTTTCATTATTTAGAACATACGACCTTTCAATAGAAGAGAAATTGTCCAACATCTCAACCATAACTCTAATGAAGTCAAAGCGTAAAATTTGATCTTCATTTATCTAATGAACTCATTCTTCCAACAAAAACTAATTTTGAATATTAAATAATGGTTAGTTTTTAGGATTGGGTTCTCAATTTACCAACTTCTTTGTCTAGAATCTATAGTGACCCGCATTTCAACCATTTTCGGAAGCACGTCCATTGTCGACATATTAAGCCAATTCTGAGAAAATATATTTCCCCAACGATATGTCAACGGAAAGAATTAGGCGTGTCAAATAGGATTTATAGGTCGGGTAAAGGTTTGACGTGAAATTAACTCAACTCGAAACTGTTTGACCTGAACATGATCCAAATATTAAATAGGTCAGAAAGTCTAACCCAAACTTGGCTCGTCTCCAACCTGATTGGCACAAATTTGAGACATGTATCTCATTTATTATATGCTTAAAAGCTAATTGGGCTAAGTTCGGTTCAATTTTCAGTTAATTTCAAATCAAGTTGGAGTTAATTTTGTGTTGGTGGGTAAAATTCGAGTTAACTTTGAGTTTGTGGGTCAATGTCAACTTTATGGTTTAACTCGAACCCAGTCTGAAATTTTAATCACGCTGAGATTTTTAACATGAACTTGACCGAAAAATAATTTGGGTCAACCTGAATCCTAATTTCTTGAGCCGAGTTTGCATCGAGTAGGTGTGTCAACCAAATTTCTGACACCCTTCGAAGAAATAAATAATTTTAGTATGATGGATATAAAATAGGGATGTAAATATTGTGATTCTTCTTCTATTTCCTTTTAACTATTGACTATATATTTACATAATTATGAAATTGAAATATACATATAAATTAGCCTATACAAACAAATATAAAATACTAACAATTCTGTTAAAATGATTAGCCTAAAATATTGGGTTAATATCAACTTTTAAAACCATCTTAATCTCCTTCAACTGCTCTACCTCAAGACCAGAGCTGGGATTAAAATATCAATGAAAGAAGCTCCATCACCAAATGCTTTTTAATTGAAAGACATTTATCTTATCATAATATTGAAACATCCAATACAAGAAATTATGAATTATATTTACAAATATACCTTTCAAGCAGATCGATTAAGGGTCTATTTGGGGCAGTTGCAGCTTATTGAATTATTTGATTAAAAATGAACTGTCGATAAACTAGGTGCGATGACAACTACAAATTT